TCTTGAAGCATGTATTTTAGAGAGTGCCGGTCGTCTATTTTCGAGATGAATACATGTACCTGTTATTACTAATCCTGTAAGACAGGTGACGTTTCCTCAAACACCAACCTTCAGGCTGATCTCGGAAATGCTAAGACACATCCAAGCATTCATGAATTCCCAAGACCCTGCTGGCAAGGACACAATAGGCGATTTATCAAACCCTCGGACAAGGACCCCTAATTGTCTGGGTCTTTTCAAGCCCCGCTGACAGAGAGCCTTTAGACAATCCGATCTGACCTATAGGTATGTATACCTAGGTACGTTTTTCCAAAAGGTTTATGGTCCAACCTTAAACCACGCTTCCAAAGGTTTGTGGTCCAACCTTAAACCACGCTTCCAAAGGTTTGTGGTCCAACCTTAAACCACACTTTCCAAAAGGTTTGTGGTCCAACCTTAAACCACGCTTTCCAAAAGGTTTGTGGTCCAACCTTAAACCACGTTTTTCCAAAAGGTTTGTGGTCCAACCTTAAACCACGCTTCCAAAGGTTTGTGGTCCAACCTTAAACCACGTTTTTCAAAGGTTTGTGGTCCAACCTTAAACCACTCTTTCTCAAAGGTTTGTGGTCCAACCTTAAATTTTCTTTAAACTATGATTTTCGTTTATTTAGATTTTATTTTATTTTATTTTCCCCTCTTCCTTGCATTGCATCATCCCGTGCCCTCTGTCAACAAAATTTAGGCGTCTCTTATCTTTGAAAGGAACCTCTTCGAGCTCCCCTTCAAAGAGGGGCAGCTGTTGACACCTAAATATTACCCAAATCATTTAGGGCTTTATCGCATAAAATTTTTAGGGTTTAATTTTTAAACCACTAAACAAAAAATATTTTCATTAAATTGCATGGCATATAGACATTAGGTGCATTTGTATTAATATGGTCTATTAGGACATAATCGGAAAAAAAAAAATAGATTTCCGGGCAGAGTTCGTCGGCCCATTCTTTTTCCCCCTGTTTTTCTTTTATTGCGCTCGGCCCATGTTCCCTTTTCTATTTTCGCGCGGGCCGGCCCATTTCCCACGGCCCGGCCCGCGCACTGTTCAGCTCCCCCTCCCCAGTCAACGCTGCTGAAGCGTACAGGGAAGAAGACCGGAACAGTGGCAGAACGCCACAGATGGGCGGAACAGGAGCCAGAGGCACGGGGATGGCAGCGCGATCCGCGGGTCGCAAGATCGGCCGGCCGCGACAGCCTGGCGGTGGCAGAGGCCATGCGCGCCTGCCGGCAACAGGGGCCACGCGGGCGTGCCGGCCAGCTCCTTTAAGACCAGATCTGGTCGTGAAGGAGAGAGGCGGGGACTCGAGAGAGAGAGATCGGTGAGAGAGATCCGAGAGAGTGAGAGGTCGAGACGGAAGGGTCCTTCGCCGGCGACCGCCGTGCCCAAGTCGCGGTCGACAATCCTTTGTCACGGTAGGTCCCGGTCCCGAGCGCTCGCCGGGTTTTGTTTCGTTTTGATTCGATTCGGGGTCGGTCTTCCGAGGATCTCGGCTCGTAGGTGTGCGAGGCGCGCGGATGTGGCCCGATCCACCGCGTTCATCCTCCATTCGCCGTCGCCGAGTCGGGTAGGGAGTGTTGCAAGGAACCGTCGCCCCTGTTTTTCTTTGCACTCTGTTTTCGGGGCTCATTGGCCGGAGCTTACGGCCGTCCGGCTCGCGCGAGTTCCGGCCCGTGACGCCTCGTGCTTGTTCTTTCTCCTCCGTGTGTCTTATGTTGATGATTTGAGTCCGTTTTGAGGCTCCATCAAGCCTAAAATCTCCCGTTTTCATCGCGCGCACCGACTGTTCGACGCTTTGCCCGAACCAAATTTCATGGGTTTTTCTCTGTTCTGCTGCTTTTTTTGGGAATGTCAGACGGCCCCGGCGTACCGCCGGTGGCCGCGGCGGTCCGGGCGTGACCGCGGGAAGAAGTGCAGAGCCAATCCCTTGCCGGGATCTGGCTGGTCCGTGACTGATCAGCCTCTCGTTGAGGCTTGGACAGTCCCGGACGGTCGCCGGTCGCCGTGGCGGTGACGTAGCTGGTCGGCTCGGCGGGTGGCGGCCGAGCATGGGCTCGGCCACCGGACCGGAAACCCTGACCGCGGGGGTCAGGGTCCGGCGGGCGGTGGCCGAGCATGTGCTCCACGTCGGAGCGGCGGCCGGTGTTCAGGCGAGCCCCTGGGCGCGGTGTGGCGGCCACGAACCGGGTTAGGCGAGTCGGGACGTGGGCGCTAGGGTTTCTAGCGAGTCGGGTCGGCGGCCGGTGACCGGGTCGGGTGCACGGGTCCATCCGGGTAGGGTTTTTTGTTTGGTATTTGGGCCAATTTTAGATTTATTTAGTTTTATTTGATTTGGGCTGGAATAGGTAGTGGGCCGGCGCATTTAGGATTTAGGGCTTTTATTTCCTTGTTGGGTTTTGGTTTGTTTTAAAACAAATTTTGGGCTGGGCCCTTTCCTTTTTTTTAAAAAAAAAAAAAAATTTCAGACCGGGCCCAATGAATGAGCCCGGTTCGGTCGTGGACCCGGGCCGGCGCGCCCGGGTCAGTCCTGATTCGGGTCGGATGTGGAGATCCGACCCGGTCCGTTTTATATTATTTTAATATTTAAATATTAAAAAAAATTTTAAAATTTTTTTTTTTTTAAAAATTTCGAAATATCAGAAATTTTATTTGAACTTTGGATTTGGTTTTTCTTGCCCTATTGTGCGATTAGTGTCAGGTTTAATTGCACGTTGCTTGGTTCACGCACTTTGAATTGCATGTTTAATTTAATCTCGCGTGTGGTTGAGTATGCACATCAGGTTCATGTATTGATTGTGGACTCCCTTAGCCTGGTTAGGGATCGAATTTCGTGACTCTCGATTAGTGTGAACACGTTAGGCAGTAATTGAACGAGGTTAGGTACCGAAATGCCACTAATTGGTCAATTAGTGTAATCAAGTTCCCGTACCCATTGAATCTCTGGTTCGTAGAAGTAAAGCATTCCTCCCGTGCTTTACTTGGGTGTCTAATCGACCCACAAAAAAATCGATTAGTGGCGACTCCTAGATGAAATTGATTTGCATGTTAACAACTTAAACTTAAGTCGCGAATTGGTATGGGCTTGGGAGAGCTCGAGCTAGGTTTAACTTAGTAATCCATTAGCCAAACCCCTTAGGCGGCTGGGGCCGGTTCGGGGAGGTCGCGACATCGGTGCCTCCATCTTTCTGGGCATCACAGAGTTGGATGGTCTGATGATCAGTTCAAGAATATGCGAAGCATGATTATGCAATAATTTAGAGATTAATTTATGGAGACTCAACCACATGATGCATTCTAATGATATCCCACAACCAGCTTCCATTTCGCATGGAATTGCTTGACGATTCACTGATACAAACAAGGATGCTCCAACTCATAAGGACATTGAAAGAAAAAGCATTGAGATCACTTTCGTGAAGTCTTTGTCATACAAACTAGCAGCTAATTCGCTGCATGCTAATGCAGATGAGCAAGTTTCATTCGACTCTGCAACTCACGTTGCAGCTGGTTGATCCTCTAGGAGAGACCACAGACCCTTCCATACATTTGGCATCCGAAGGTTGGTTCCAAATTTCCTCCTCAAAGTGCATCTAGAAAGACCAGATGATATTCGTTGTTAAACACATTTAGCATGAAGAATAATAATCTTGTTCTCTACGTGCAAACTTGTCGTTGCAACAGATACGGAGCAAAGTGGGGCAGCAAGCCTGGACTCGCTCTTGCAAAACATTAAGGACGCACAGGACTCACTGAGACACCTACTATCTACCAGTTTTGGCTCACCTCAGAGCTCACCTTCCAAGCAGGGCTCTGGTGCAACGAAGCATGTGAGGTAGCACTGCAAATCAGCTGCGTCCACTGATTCCCCAACTCAAGAATCATCGCGCCCCACCCAACATTCTAGAAGAAATCAGAATTTGGGTCTTGGGGTTGAGTCATCCTCACATGATGCCGCCATGATGTTGAAGCAATCACGGAGGAGAAAATCGAAGGGTTCATCTGGTGGTGGGTCAACGTGAACATTGAGATCAAAGGGGCAAAGTCCTTCGAATGATGCATCCTCATTCACAGAGCATGGATCAGGGTCCGAACATGGACAAGGACTAAGGAAGATTCAGATCATCTCAGCGCAGTTGCCGAAGTGACCGAAGAAGGGATAGGGTAAAAAGTGATAGTGATTAGTGTACATGCAAATTGTTAATACTTGAACAAAATCTTCTGGAGCCAGGTTGTCCCTCTTGTTGAGTTTCTTGTTCTAAGGACATTTTCTGCTAAAAATTTGCGTGTGGAAGATAAGTACTTTGGTAGGCTCACAAAGAACACAAGACCGCACGAAGGCTCAGATAATGAAAGACTTCTACGCTCAGAGTTGCATCAAGACATGTAGCTCAACTTGAGGGTGCCATGTTTTGACCATCGACAAAAACTAAATGCATGTGCTTAAGAATACCCCAGCCCAAATACAAATCGTGGGGATAAAAACAGACTCAAGCAACATTTGCAATTCCTATCAACTAGTCAGGCAGGTAAACTAGCAAACCTATTTTTCATACGAATAGAACTAATGAAGTTACTTAATGCAAGTTATCAAGGTTTCAACTTTTAAAAGAGTTGCTTTCTTACAGGTTGCAGTTTGCAGACAAGAAAAGGTGTCTAAATACGTACTACCAATGTATACGAACCATAACCGACCATCTGCCCCCAAAAGATTTCTTGACTTATTGTCTTACCATTATTGTTGCGGGTACATTTCTTTCCAAATGATTGATTATATGCAATCAGGTGCAAGAAAACCATCCAGTGCTCAAACATTTGCTCGCACAAATTGATTCCAGAAATCATGAAACAACTACTAAATGAAAAAATCAGACCTCCCTCCAAGTTCTCTCTGGTGCTGCTAATTAAAAGTACCAGGGTGCTTTTACTGAAATAGGTAGGTCTAAGATCAAGCTGTCCGCAAAAAACATCAATCAAACAGAATAACCCGCAAAATAATGCACTGCTGATATTATACGATTTCCAGATATTCAATGAAAGGAAGCAGAGAAATACACTGGACCTTCATTGTGCCTGATGTACTAATGACAAACCAAGAAAATTAGCATCAGGTGCATATATGTCAGATACTAATTTCCAGCTTTCTGTTCAAAATTCCTTCTAATTCAAAAGCCAAGTCAGAACTATGATGCTGTTCGCTCATTACTTACAAACTCAAAGCATTTCATTTACTACGAGGCGTGATAATCTCAAAGAGAGTCGAATTCTCCTGGATGCCATAGCTCGCCAGGTCACGGTCGTCTGCAAGCCTTTTTCCCACATAAGCAATAGCATGCAATTTGGCCGGCACACTCACCTGGAGCTTATGAAGAAGCTTGTTCTTCACTTCTTTGACTGTGTCAGTACTGCAAACCTGAAGAGCAACAGTCTTACCATTCTTGCACTTGACAAATATCGGAAATGGAGCATAGGGAGACACCAATTGCAAGACAGAGCCATCCGCAATGTTGTAACAAGCTAAGGTTGTGTCATCCTCAAGCTGCTTCCCCTGATAGATCATGTGCAAGCTCATCACCTGTGCTGACATCATTGCTCCGACAATGGCTTTGACATCACGCACAGTGTACCAAAATTTAGCGCCTACTGTGACTCTGCAATTGGACATGTCAATAATAACTGACACATCATCTTTGGGATGGAAAACTAAATGAAATGTGGGCTCTTGCAGCAAGTCAAGCGAGGCGAGGGTCCTGTCCACTGCAAGCACCTTTCCACTGAATACCAGATCGAACTCATGCGGTGGAATCCCTTCCTTGTCTTGAATCATCACTTTGACATCTTGGATGGTATCCTGATGCCTCGGTTCGACCAGCAAGCTTTTCTGAGTGGATAATATTTCGACTTTTACTCTCATCCTAGCCGAATCCTGAAGGATGACATGGAGCGTGGGGTGACCGTGGATTCCGTAGTCAATCAGTCTTTTTCCATCTTGGAGACGATTGCCTCCAAAAAAAACCTGCTGACTATGTTCATCGATTTGTTCCTTGTCTTGAATAAATGCTTTGATATCCTCCACGGTCGAATTTCTCCTTGCTTTCAGGGCCACTGTCTTGGTGATCTTCAAGTATAGATTCACCTATGGCACCAAAAAACAAATGGGGTTCCATTAATGACGATAATCTGAAAATCAAATCAACATCCGTATTATAAACAAAATCGAAAAAACCCGAGAGAACTGAGAAAGAACTGGTTATCTGTTTTGAACAGCAAGTGCTCGAAACTAGACCTTCACCAAGCAATATCTCAAATGGAACGGCAACACACAAAAAAATTCCAGTTTCAACGAGTTTCACCAAAAAGATGGTTCTTTTCCACTAAAGATGTTTCTTTTCCAGTAAATTAGTCTTCTTTGCTCTAGTTTTCCTCCTTCAGGCTGACCCAGTTCAGAAAATAGGGGAAAAACATGAAGTGTCCTCACTTTTCGTCAAAAAGCAAGAATCTCGAAGCCCTCATGAAAATACTAGGAAGTCGACAACCAAAAAAACGACGAAACGGACAAGAGACCCCAGAGAGAGAGAGAGAGAGAGAACCTCTTCATCGTCTGAACTTGGAGGCACGGAGGGTGGCAGTAGAGAAGGCGAAGCAGCATGGAAAGCTTCGAGCGCAACCACGGCATCTTCATGACCATTCTTGATCAGAAGCTCCTTCAATTTCTCGCGTGCATAAGACGGCAGCTTCGCCACGCGTTCTTTGAAAGAGTTGCGACCCGGGTGATCCTCAAAGACGCCATTACACGAACCTTGAGCATCGGACAACTGAAAACTATAGTCGGTAATAACCGTCATGGATTGACTCGGACTTTCCCAAGACGTGGCGGTGGAATTCAGGCTATTCTCGTCAAAGAAGAAGATGCGTCGGATTCTGGGAGACATGCTTGATGGGTCGAGATCAAATGATCCGCTGCAAGCAGGAAGATGGTGCAGGCAGAATGAGAGTGCTTCCTGTACAAGCAACGATGAAGGATTGTGCCGAGCTTCTTGGTTGGATCATGGATGTTGACTCGATGGAAAAGCCTTTCTTTATTCTTCTACTGTGCTGGATATGGTTCTTCCCCTTGTAGTAGGGTGACAAGTCTCCTTCACTACTGGGAGAGACACGTTGATGGGTGGTCGAGATATAGTGCAGGCAGAGCGAGGATGCTTCCAGGAAAAAGTAACGATGAAGGATTGTGCAGGGCTTCTTCGTTGGATGTTGACTCGATGGAAAAAGTCATTCTTTAGTCTTCATCTCCTGTACATAGTCCCCCCCTTGCAGTAGGGCGACAAGTCTTCTTCACCTGTACTTTATTTTTGCCTTTTTTCAAAAATTTCAATATTGATAATTTGAGCGTTGGAAACAGAAATAAAAAAACTATCGGATAAGAATCGAATAATTGATGACGGAATATCATTAATCTGTTATCGTACACGCAATCGTGCTTGTTATCTATGTGCTTTATATAATATAATTTGTAAGAATCCAATTGCCGCCGATTGCTTTTTTCTACTTAGTGAATTCGGTAATTCATTCCTTACTTAGCTTATTAACTGAAATTTTTTTTGACTTAATTGAACCCTTCAAGTCTTATGGTTATCAAACAATGCCTAGGAAGCGTAGGGGGCAAAATGCCAGGAGGGTACAGTAACTTATGCTAGTACGATTGTTCAGATATTCAAATCAAGTGGCTTGTTAAATCAAATTTATGCTATAATCCGACGTTATCACCCTCCATTTAATCTAAATTGCAATCCTTGTCGATCACTTTCAGCATAAAAAGACTAGCTAGATGCTCTTGATTGACCGAACGAGCTCCTTAGTTCAACTTGTATATTTTGAACAGTTCCCTAGTTTTCTGCACAATAACCGTCAGAAACAGTGGAAACATCTATTCCAATTTCTCCCAGCTTCTGGCAATATTTGATCAGCATGACAACTGATTTTTTTTTTTTTTGGTCAGAATGACAACTGATTTGAACATGTTGTTTACCGACTACCCTGCTAATTGTAACGCTCGGGACTGGTTTTGCTGGTACCATGACGGCGGGCACAAGATTGTGTAAAGCGGAAAGAATGGAGAAGACCAACATAACCGTTAAGGCAGAAGCTTCCTGCCATATATATAAGGGATACACAAAAAGATGCAACATATTATGACCGCATCAATTATCCAGCAAATGCACCTATACTCTCAAGTTCCTCCAATTCCAACATCAGAGATTACACATCCAGAGTATGCCTACTCTGGTACCATTATCATCATGAGATCAACCTGAAGTGAGGCGGGACCACGAGAGAAGAACCGAGGCCTTGTACTAACTTTGGCGATGAAACACCCCCGCCTCCGTGTCAAGAGGGAACTTGGATCAAGTGGTAGTTTGTTCTCGAGGGGAGTTAGAGGGAGATGGTTTGAGCATTGCATGCTCTTGGCCGGTCTAAAGCACACAAGATGGCGCCGGTTGGATCCTGCATAATTTGAACAAAAGTTAGAATTTTTCTAAGATCCTAAAGTTCGCCATACATAAGCTGGTGATATTCTTTGTGTAAGGACCTCGGCCCCACCACGCTTCCGCTGCGCCACTCCTTGTGTAATATTGTCCGCTTTGGACACTAAGTCCTCACGGTTTTAAAACGCGTTACACAAGGATTAGGGGCCAAGCCTTATAAACTCACCAAGATCTCACTCCCTAAGCAATGTGGGACAAGAGCAATGCAATCCCTTGCCATCCTAGAAGATCTCACTCCCTAAGCAATGTAGGACAAGAGCAATGCAATCCCTTGCCATCCTAGAAGCCTGCCGGAAGCCGCTCCTTGTCCAGGTCCTCGGACCCCGGCGACCACTCCCCGCCCTCGTCGGATCGGGTCATTACACTTTGTGTCGTAGTTGATGTTTCAATTCCATTAACACTTGGACACCAACTAATTTTTTGGCTACCTAGTCCATCATCATTCATAAATATAAGTCAGATATCCTAACTATTCAAGATCATTAATCAGAGTGAAACATAATGGGGAAAAAAACAAGAACAAGAAACAAGAGACGGGTGAAAGCTACCGCTATCGGTCTTAGGAATTCCAGTCTAAATTATGAAAGAAAAACAAGCCAGGAATGGAAATAGAAATATGCAATTTCAAACGCATATTCACACATATCCTTGTCACGTCGTGTTTCAATAAAACTCCGCTGTAAATAACTCAGCATGCTCAAGAAGTTTCTTAGCAAGGATGTTCACAGGCCCACACAAGACATGGTCGTCAAGCAAAGCAGAAATGTAATAAGAGCAATCAGAGCAAGAATCGGGTAAAAGACATGGTCAATTAAGCACGAAAGTGCTGTGACATTACCCGTTGACTCATTATGTCCAACAGAACCAGATAATCATGTACTCATAGGGTTCCCCATAGTTCAGCTCTAAATATATTGGCGCACTTGACAAAACCTACCAAACAAATTTTCATAAAAAACCAGAAGAATGTAGAGAAGACTGGACGACATATCCCAAGCACTGCCAGGAAATCATTTTTTTCAAAACCTAACATGATCAATGACCTGTCCTAGAATATTATAGACCTCGGAGCATGATTATGCTTTGGCGTCGCTGACGTCTCCATGTTTCAGAGCCATTGCTAGCGTTTCAACGAACAAGGACAGAAGACACTTTCAAAATTTAGTTATGGAAGAAATTGCAATTAATTATCGTGCGTTTTCTACGCGAACATCCACGTTCCATCCTGTTACGGGTCTCGTTAATGGGAGTACCGTGCGAGGCGGAGAATATCTACATCCGCATCTCTAGCCATGCGGGTGCATGCATCTGAAATTTCTCGGTCAAAATTGGAGGATTTATAAGTTCCTCGTTGAATTTTACTATTTCCTCCTTTTCACTTCGACGCACGAGTAATCTGCATATTCAAGGGATGAAATAGCCGTTTCGTGTCCACGAAGGGATCGAGCGAAATGCGTGGAACGAGGAAATTTCAGTGGAGCTCATCTCTAATTCAAAGGAGTATTTTGATTTGGTTGGTTAGGATCCACCTATTGGTAGAACTATAAGGATTACCCCTCTACACGCTTCAACGAATTATTGTGGCTCATGAAATCCATGCTAGGAACCAACTCCATCGGGTATATATGGGCAACTTCAACGAAATACTCTCTATAATTAGGAGAAGGTAAGGAAGAGGGAAGTGGACAATTACAAGGTAGTGGCTTTCCGTGAGCTTCTAAATGGTTGTTCCCTAATGGATGTTCAGGGTAAGGGTTGCGCCTTTACTTGGGAAAACAACAGAGATGGTGATGCCTTGGTAAGGAAGAGACTGGTTATGGTTGTTTGCAATATCCACTGAAGAGTTATGTTTCCTAACACTGAAGTTTATGCGCTGCTGCGATCGGATCCGATCATAGTCCGTTACTCCTCTTGCTACATCCGAAGCTTATGAAAAGGAAAAAAGAATTTAAATTTGAAGCATTTTGGTTAGAAGATCAGGAGTGTTGTGAAATCATCATAAGAGTATGGCATGAAATGTCAGGAGACAATGTTGAATTTAAAGATAAGATCAAGATGGTCTTTGAGGAACACATGGCCTGGACTAAGAGAAAATTTTCCAGTGCCTATCGGTAATTTAAAGAGCTGAAAACGAGACTTACTGAGATATCAAATAGCACAACTAGTATTGATAGTAAGAGGGAATCCCAGGTGATAGAAGAACAGATTGAAAGATTGTAGAGGCAGGAGGAGATGTATTGGAGATTGAGATCACGAATTAGCCGGCTAAAATGGGGAGACAAGAACACAAAATACTTCCATGCTACCGCCGTTCAAAGGAGACAGGGAAATAGGATTTTGGCATTAAAAATTGATGAAAGTAATTGGTGTCGTGAACCTAATGCATTGAAGGAGCATATTGTTGACTTCTACCAGTCCCTCTATGAAATAGTACGATCCAGAAATTTTGGTCTGGTCATCGCCCAATGCTCTTGTATAGTGCGAGACAAGATGAATGTGAATTTGATCGTACCCATTTTGATGGAGAAAGTAACAGAAGCTGTGTATTAAATGGGAGCCCTAGAACCTCTTGGCCTTGACGGTCTAAACAACCAATTCTATCATCATCATTGGGACGACATTCAGTTCCATGTGCTCAGGTTGTTAAAAATATCTTTGATTCCGGCACCTTTGACCCCAAACTCAATGAAATCCATATTTCTCTCGTTCTGAAGATCCCGAACCCAGAAAATGTGACTCAGTTTTGGCCAATTAGCCTTTGCAATTTCAGCTATAAAAAACATTTCGAAAGTAATGGCAAATCGCCTGAAAACTTGGCTTCTCGACATCATAGCCACGGAGCAAAGTGCCTTTGTTGACGGGAGGTAAATCCAAGACAATATTATGATTGTTCAGGAGGTGTTACATTAATTAAGAGAAAGAAAGACAAAGAAGAAATTTCAAGCGGTTCTAAAACTCTATATGCAAAAAGCGTATGATAGAGTGGAATGTGATTTTTTGGAAGCGTGTTAATTGAAATTGGGCTTTTGTGAGAAATGGGTACATTTAGTAATGCATTGCATCTCCACGGTTTCTTTTTAGTGTGAAAATCAATGGTGAGCCTACACACTTCTCCGAATCCTCACGTGGGATAAGGCAGGGTGACCCCTTATCTCCCTACTTATTTATCAGTATGGCAAACGTCCTCTCGTGGCTAATGAATAAAGCAACCGAGGAAGGAAGCATCAAAGAAATTAAGTTGAATAGGTTTTGCCCAACTCTCTCTCGTTTACTTTTTGCTGATGATGCTGTCTTTTTTACGGATGGGACAGTTAGAAAGTGCCAATATTTGGCTGATATCCTTAATTAGTATTGCTTCACGACAAGTCAAGCCATAAACCTGAACAAATTAGGTATATTTTTTAGTGGCGGCTACCCTTTAAACTTGGAAAGGAACATCGCACAAGAGCTGAGAGTCCCGATTATTGAGAAGACTGGGATGTACTTGGGCATTCCCTCGGATTGGGGCCATTAAAAAAATACAGATGTTTGCGTGGTATTAGTAAGGGTTAATATGAAACTAGAGGGATGTAAGGAGAAGTTTGATATCAAAAGCAGGCAAGGAAATCCTCATTAAAACGGCGGTGCAAGCATTACCCACATATGCCATATCGATATTCAAGATACCTATTTCGGTATGTAAGGCAATAGAACAGAGAACTGCTTTGTT